TAAAATTTGTATGAATTTACATCTTGGACCATAGTGGAATATTTTCCATATCCTTACTAGCGAGGATTTTGATGGTGTCATTTCTCGCCATTGCATTGCATGGCTGCCAAACTTTGTCAAACATTGGTTGAAAGATGGCGAGCAATAGGGAAGTTAAATTCACTGAAGGCAACATAAAATTGCCCACTAATAAGCATGAAAATGCCAAAAATGAATGAAAGAATGAAAATAAGAATGAAAATGCCAAAATGAAGAAAGATACTTTGTGTGGCTTAAAACTATTCCATGAGTTTCTTCAAAGTAAACCAAAGCAGAGGTGTTCAAGATATTTTAATCTGCCGAGCTGCAGTTTACATAATTTGTACGTACAGTTTGTGCTTTTGATTCGTCTATGAAGTTTTTGTCGAAGTACATGTTGATAAGAAGATCATTACACATTGTCTCAAAGATATGAATTTTATGCTCTCATGGTAAAAACAATGTTTCACTCATTCGCTGCGCTCACTCGTGAGATATTACTTATGCCACTTGAACATACAGTAAAATTCATATCTTCTTGCTACCAAGTAATATCCTCTATGTCTATAGATTGAAATCAGGCATGTCATTTGATTTGATGTGTAAGCCATTTTGTTGATGATCATTTTTCACTAATATTAAATTCAAGTGAGATACATGTATGTCTGAGTTAACACATGAATCTACCAGAATTTTCAAGTCTAATTTAGCCTACATTGTAAATGTACACTATATTTAACATGCTCTATTTTGAAGTGTTTGGAATCACTCAAGATTTAGATTTTAGGATGTCACTGAGTGTTGATCAATGTATATTTATCATTATGCAAATGGAAAACTTATTTACTGGCAAGCATGTTCTTTCCTGTGTCAATAATTGATCATATTTCTGCTGCCACCTGCTAATAGGGCTGCTATAAATGGATTGAAGTTCACAACAAGGGTGTTGAGGTTTTATAAAAGGATTTCAGTGTATTCAGAATTATAAATCTCAGTAGGATCTCAAGTGTTATTTTGTGATGAGCTTAAAATAGTGAGCAAAGATTTTTTCAGAATCTATTGTCTTTTATGAGTGCCACTGATAATTTTATGAGTTATGGTAGTAAATGTACATGGCCAGACGTTTGAGGAGAAAGAAAAGTGAGTCTTCACTTGTAGATATCAGATTTTATTTCACCCCAATTCCAAAGGTTAAATAATTTACAGTATATTGACCCAAGTTACATGTGGCTGTTGTAGGTAACTGCAGTACTGCAGTAGATAGAATAAATATTGATTTTCTTTATTTAAATTAAGGTATATTTTCCTCTTCAATTTTCCTACTACATGTACATGTAAATGAAATGTAGGGTTCTGAACTATCGCCACATGACTGAAAGTGACAAAGTTTCCATTTTTGTGTTATCAATTTATAACTTGTAGTTAATCTCTCTTTTGGTGACCCATTTTCATTTTGTTTAAATAATATTGTTCTCAGCCATGAAGTATGAATTTAAAAGCAGTTGTAAGTTGTTGATTTGCATTTTAAATTAATGACCCTATAGCTATAGAATTCTTGTAAAAGTCAAATGATGCACATAAAATAATCTCTCTAGATACATGTATATAGTATTAAAAAGAATATTATATTTTCTTATTGACAAGTGCTCCACTTGAAGTCAGTTTTTACAACACTAAAGGGAATGTATTTATTCACAATACTTAGTTTTACGCTCTGAAGAAGTGAAAATTTACTTGTCTGATACAAGGGCAGCTGGCTCTTATAGTCTGTCTGCTTAAACTGCATAATAGTGATAAATTATAATACTACACATGCCCTTGTAAACATGTAATCTTAAAGTGTTATGTTTTTGTTTTCAAATTAAATAGTTTTTAAATAGTAGCTTGTTTACTATACATATGCAAACACATGTATGTACATCAACATGTAAAAAAAATGCACTTGTTAATAAAACTTAGACTTAGTTAAGACGTAGTTGTAACAGTGACAAACTTTTTAGACAAGGGTCTGAAATGTGGGTGGCCCTGATGGTAGGAGACCTATAAATGGTATTTTTTGTTTTATGTATACTAAATGGTTACCAAAATTGTCATCATTGACACTTTTACCTACTGTATAAGTGTGCCCTTTGATGGTTGAAAGTTTGAAATGCCCTTATTGTGTTACTTTGATTGTCAGAAAGTCTGTTTCTGAATCTGTTGGTTACTTGACACATTATCGCTCCAGAGTGTACCAAGTTATACAGTAGTCTTTTAAGTCTTGCTTCTCATGAAATTGAGTACTGTTCTCTCATTCACATGTCTTGTTTTTTTGTGAGACATATACATGTACACATGTATCATCAAAATACATTGATGGCTGTTAACAGTACACATTGTTGTAGTGTAGGATGTCTTTTCTTACAAATGAGTTGACGGTTATCTTGTATTGAGTCTACATGTATGATTTTCTGAAGCTGCAATGATCATATTAGACCCATGACTTTTAAGCCTTGGGCATTATGATTTTCAGCCAAACTACTGTTAGTAACTAATTAAAAGCATATGATTTGTTGGTAGTAGGGTAAATTACATGTATACTGTATGTTTAATAATTGTTTTTACTGAATGTTTTTTTTAAAAATTCATTTTGTTCTCATTAGATGACTTTTTAATGGGAGGGATTTCAGCACATGTAAGTTTGTTGATACTTTTATTGCATTATATATTAATTATAATCCTGTTAAAAACCACAATGTATCTTTTTATAAGTTTCAAGGACATGTTAACGTAGAGTGCTATTGTATTACTTCATTTGCACTGATGTGAAAGAAGGTATGCTAAGTGTAGTAATGATCTTCTAATGTTTAATTTGGTACATGATTGTATAGACTGAGGTGAGTTTGGTTACTTTGATTCATGAATTGTACAATCATGTATTTGATATAAATTTATTTGCTGTTGTTAGCTGGAGCCATTAGAAAAAGAGTGGCTGGTCTCAGCAGCTAAAGGAAACAGAGCACAGATCATGTGTCTTTTGGAGCAGGACCCTAACTTAGCAACAAAAAAGGTAGTTATCTTGAGAACTGCATAAGAGTCATGCTCTTTGACCTTTTAGTTAATACCAACTCACTATTTTGTCCTCGTTTTCTTGAAAACGAGGCACACACCAGTAAAAAAAAAAAAAAGAACTACAGGGCAGTGTTTTTTTTATTGAACTGAAAACCACATACAAAAATTCAGGCACTTTTGAGGGGAAAATCATTCACTCAAATTTGGCACATAGCATGGTTTTATGTTTAGCCCCTTGAATTATAATTAAGGGTGTAAATCTGTTTTTGTTGTTGAACATGTTGGTGACATTAGAGCAGTTTTCACATGAGTGCAGAGCATAAGTTGCAATTTATTGCTGTGGCTTTGTATTGCAAAGTTACTGGCTTGAAAAAAACTCACACCGTTTTGTCATCCAGTCAGAATTATGTGTAAAACCAAAACCTACATGTATTGTGACTTTGCGGTACACACTTTTGATTTATCTCCTCTGTTGCTGTGGTAAAGTTTATTGCACTCAGTTATCCTCTGATACTTCGGGTGGCTTGGGGTTTTGAGTTTATTTAGAATTGCTTAATAATACTGTAAGTTGTTTGTAGCGTTTGTATGGAAACAAGCGAAAGTACTGAATGTCTGCTTTTTGTGAACTTTTGAAAATTACCATTGATTTTGTAAAAATCTACTAATCGTACATTTTACATTTACATGTATTTCAGAATTTCTTACTGAAATTGGATGTTTTGAGATGTTAAATTTGTGACTCAGTAAGCTCCGAAGCTATTAACTAATTTCCTTATTTTTTCATTTTTTCATTCAAAACCAGGATTTTATGTTGGTAAGTACATTTCAAACTGAACATTTTCAAGTGAATGTTCACCTTTGTTAAATACTGTAAAGTTGATAGATCTTGTTAATGAATCTTGTGTAATAATTATAGTAAAAAAATTTTACCAATGGGTAATAAGAGGTTTCTATCTTTGACAAATTGAATATCAATGCTAAAAAACAACATTTTGATGTCATCCTTGCATCATTATCAAGTTAGAAGTAATGATGATGATGCCAAGATGACATTGAATTGTATATTTAGCATTGATATTATGTTGTCAAATTGATTACTAAGTTATCGCTTATTTGAGTTTCTCTAATGTTCACTCATTCTCAGAAATGTGACAATAAATTGTACATTGCACATGTTAATGTAACTGTGCCAGGGAACTGTGCAAAATAATATGTACTAACCATAGTGTTTTTCCTTTCTTTTCACTGCTCATCTGATTACATTCTCCTCATACAGGGTGTAAGTATTGCTCAGTTTACATGTAATTGTCAATATTAAACTTAGTACATACCGTTGGATCCCTACATGTATTATGTGGCTGCCTATTAAATGACCACCCTTATTAGGCAGCCAGTAATCAAAGTCTCAATGATGACTTTTCTATTGTTTTTACCTCTATTAAGCAACCACTACCATATCCCCGAGGGTGGCCATTTAATAGGGGTTGAACTGTAATAGGATTCTAAACAATGCTTTTTTACTTAACCCTAATTCTAACTGCATTTTTGTCATTATTTACATAAAATTTTTTAAGGAAAAAAATCATTGTTAAGAGACATGGGTAGCAACTGAGAAGTGTGTAACTATTATTGATGTAAAGTATTCCCCTATAAAGTATCTCTCTTGAAACATCTCTCTCTGAATATTATGATCTTGATAGTAGTCTTACGGACATTCCCCCAATGAAGATTTTAAGTGCAACCATCCAGCTTATACATGTAACTATTATTCATTATTTTATGGTATTACATAACTTAGATTTGATTTTGACCAGTGTCATACGAGTTTTGTTTCTTGAAATTTGTAGTTGAGCTGTTGTGAATTAATTTTACTCTTTCTTTTTAACCCCTCATGGCTTAAATATGTGCTTCTTCAACCTGACTGTACATCAAACTTGCAGTATGTAAGTATAATTTCACATACATTGTACAGGTACATTAATACATACATGCATATTATTGTACATGCAAGGTTGTCAAGAGTACAATGTAGCTGGTTGCTGGCAAACTTTGCCATAGTGATATACTTGGTGATCTTGGCTGGGTTTCTCCACTGGGCTAATTTCCACTGATTGTAAAGAAATAGATGTTAAAATCAGCCACCTCCTCCAACAATCAAGCCTCTTACACTTTTTGCATTTGCATTGCACCATCCTAAAGGAAATGAGAGGATGTGAGAGATTCAACCTTCCTGGGTAGACATCACAACAGGACCTATTCTTCTCAAACTTGGCCATAAAAAAAAATATATGGCAGTGATTTTGGTGCCATTTCAACATTTGGTTGGGGAAATTGAGGGTTTAACAGAATAAAAAAATCATATGTCAAATAACAAGTAGATTTGTGTTAGCAGAAAAAAAAAGTGGGCTCTAAGTGGTTATTAATTTAAGTGATTGTTCTTGACCCATAATCTTGATATTGTTAAGGGCTGTTTATTTTTCATTTTGGGGGTGGGGGCACTTGACTAGTAGGAGTGGGGTTATTTGGGATAGTAAATTGGGGATCTAATGGTTTTTAGTCTCACTGGCTCAGCTTAAGTAGAATTTTCCTCTGGGTTTGACACTTACTTTGTGAACATTTATAGAGTGCACTTCACTGGGCAGCTAAACATGGAAGAGCAGATATCGTTAAACTGCTGGCCAGCACTGGCATTGATGTTAATGTAAGAACGGTAAGGACACAAGGTTTGCTATTGGTATTTAATTTTCGACTACATGTATGCTGGTAGTGTATGACAACCAAGAGAAAAAGGCATTTCTAGACATCTGGTACTCCAAGGACCTTGGCTGTTACATTAAACTGATTGACAAAGTTTTAAATAAACGTTATTGTGCATGTAGCTCCCTTGGCTGTGTGAAACACTGGATAGAATGTTCATTATTTTTATGAAAGAGACATGTTTCGTGTTTGTAGCATCATAATTATAGTAAAACATCAAGAATTGACATATACATGTACAGTGTGATTGTGTGATGGTATAATTATATTAAATACTGCACTAACTCAAATCAATAGTTTATCTCACATATTGTTTATTTTTTTTTCTTCATGGTCATCACCATCATCAATAGAATGTAAGTACATGAGATGATAAAATTTTTACCACTCACATGTCGAGAAGTTGTTATTTTAACCCTTTTTTGATTTCTGTTGTTGATCTTATTTTCACAAGTGTGGTCGCATGTTAAGAATACTGATACATGTAAATGTTTTTTTTTCTCTTGCTACATTTTCTAAATTGCTTCAACTGGACATCATTCAGGGGGTAAGTTACTCTTTGTACAGCTTGGTTGTGATATTTACTGTATCTTAAATGCAAAGTGCTCAACTATATCGGTTATTGACAGAGCATGAGGTCAAGATGGCTGGGTATTGACCGAGATCTTTTTTTACCTGCTTATGGACTGGGGGGAAGGCGAGGTTCATGAATATGCAACAAAAGTTCTTTGCCAATATCCAGCCATCTTGACCGAGCAAGTCTGGGAAGAAAAGGATTTATCATATGGCATACGGGACACCAGTTCCTTGCAGGACACAGCAGGCAATCAAAAAAGGGCAATATAGCCCCATCTTGGCACTCTGGTAGCCAATTACAGTGCAAGATGTGGTTCATCTTGCCCACTTGTACAACAACAAGCCATTTAATAAAATTAAACTTTCCTTTTCGTTACTTGTAGGGTTACACGGCTCTTCATCTGGCTGCTATACACGGGCACGATGACGTCATAAAAATGCTAGTGTCTGAATATGGTGAGTCTTGTCTCTTATTTTCTTTTGTTGGATATGGAAATATACAATACAGCCCAAAAATAACAAAAATAAAACACGGTACAGCCCAAAAATAACAAAAATAAAACACGGTACAGCCCAAAAATAACAAAAATAAAACACGGTACAGCCCAAAAATAACAAAAATAAAACACGGTACAGCCCAAAAATAACAAAAATAAAACACGGTACAGCCCAAAAATAACAAAAATAAAACACGGTACAGCCCAAAAATAACAAAAATAAAACACGGTACAGCCCAAAAATAACAAAAATAAAACACGGTACAGCCCAAAAATAACAAAAATAAAACACGGTACAGCCCAAAAATAACAAAAATAAAACACGGTACAGCCCAAAAATAACAAAAATAAAACACGGTACAGCCCAAAAATAACAAAAATAAAACACGGTACAGCCCAAAAATAACAAAAATAAAACACGGTACAGCCCAAAAATAACAAAAATAAAACACGGTACAGCCCAAAAATAACAAAAATAAAACACGGTACAGCCCAAAAATAACAAAAATAAAACACGGTACAGCCCAAAAATAACAAAAATAAAACACGGTACAGCCCAAAAATAACAAAAATAAAACACGGTACAGCCCAAAAATAACAAAAATAAAACACGGTACAGCCCAAAAATAACAAAAATAAAACACGGTACAGCCCAAAAATAACAAAAATAAAACACGGTACAGCCCAAAAATAACAAAAATAAAACACGGTACAGCCCAAAAATAACAAAAATAAAACACGGTACAGCCCAAAAATAACAAAAATAAAACACGGTACAGCCCAAAAATAACAAAAATAAAACACGGTACAGCCCAAAAATAACAAAAATAAAACACGGTACAGCCCAAAAATAACAAAAATAAAACACGGTACAGCCCAAAAATAACAAAAATAAAACACGGTACAGCCCAAAAATAACAAAAATAAAACACGGTACAGCCCAAAAATAACAAAAATAAAACACGGTACAGCCCAAAAATAACAAAAATAAAACACGGTACAGCCCAAAAATAACAAAAATAAAACACGGTACAGCCCAAAAATAACAAAAATAAAACACGGTACAGCCCAAAAATAACAAAAATAAAACACGGTACAGCCCAAAAATAACAAAAATAAAACACGGTACAGCCCAAAAATAACAAAAATAAAACACGGTACAGCCCAAAAATAACAAAAATAAAACACGGTACAGCCCAAAAATAACAAAAATAAAACACGGTACAGCCCAAAAATAACAAAAATAAAACACGGTACAGCCCAAAAATAACAAAAATAAAACACGGTACAGCCCAAAAATAACAAAAATAAAACACGGTACAGCCCAAAAATAACAAAAATAAAACACGGTACAGCCCAAAAATAACAAAAATAAAACACGGTACAGCCCAAAAATAACAAAAATAAAACACGGTACAGCCCAAAAATAACAAAAATAAAACACGGTACAGCCCAAAAATAACAAAAATAAAACACGGTACAGCCCAAAAATAACAAAAATAAAACACGGTACAGCCCAAAAATAACAAAAATAAAACACGGTACAGCCCAAAAATAACAAAAATAAAACACGGTACAGCCCAAAAATAACAAAAATAAAACACGGTACAGCCCAAAAATAACAAAAATAAAACACGGTACAGCCCAAAAATAACAAAAATAAAACACGGTACAGCCCAAAAATAACAAAAATAAAACACGGTACAGCCCAAAAATAACAAAAATAAAACACGGTACAGCCCAAAAATAACAAAAATAAAACACGGTACAGCCCAAAAATAACAAAAATAAAACACGGTACAGCCCAAAAATAACAAAAATAAAACACGGTACAGCCCAAAAATAACAAAAATAAAACACGGTACAGCCCAAAAATAACAAAAATAAAACACGGTACAGCCCAAAAATAACAAAAATAAAACACGGTACAGCCCAAAAATAACAAAAATAAAACACGGTACAGCCCAAAAATAACAAAAATAAAACACGGTACAGCCCAAAAATAACAAAAATAAAACACGGTACAGCCCAAAAATAACAAAAATAAAACACGGTACAGCCCAAAAATAACAAAAATAAAACACGGTACAGCCCAAAAATAACAAAAATAAAACACGGTACAGCCCAAAAATAACAAAAATAAAACACGGTACAGCCCAAAAATAACAAAAATAAAACACGGTACAGCCCAAAAATAACAAAAATAAAACACGGTACAGCCCAAAAATAACAAAAATAAAACACGGTACAGCCCAAAAATAACAAAAATAAAACACGGTACAGCCCAAAAATAACAAAAATAAAACACGGTACAGCCCAAAAATAACAAAAATAAAACACGGTACAGCCCAAAAATAACAAAAATAAAACACGGTACAGCCCAAAAATAACAAAAATAAAACACGGTACAGCCCAAAAATAACAAAAATAAAACACGGTACAGCCCAAAAATAACAAAAATAAAACACGGTACAGCCCAAAAATAACAAAAATAAAACACGGTACAGCCCAAAAATAACAAAAATAAAACACGGTACAGCCCAAAAATAACAAAAATAAAACACGGTACAGCCCAAAAATAACAAAAATAAAACACGGTACAGCCCAAAAATAACAAAAATAAAACACGGTACAGCCCAAAAATAACAAAAATAAAACACGGTACAGCCCAAAAATAACAAAAATAAAACACGGTACAGCCCAAAAATAACAAAAATAAAACACGGTACAGCCCAAAAATAACAAAAATAAAACACGGTACAGCCCAAAAATAACAAAAATAAAACACGGTACAGCCCAAAAATAACAAAAATAAAACACGGTACAGCCCAAAAATAACAAAAATAAAACACGGTACAGCCCAAAAATAACAAAAATAAAACACGGTACAGCCCAAAAATAACAAAAATAAAACACGGTACAGCCCAAAAATAACAAAAATAAAACACGGTACAGCCCAAAAATAACAAAAATAAAACACGGTACAGCCCAAAAATAACAAAAATAAAACACGGTACAGCCCAAAAATAACAAAAATAAAACACGGTACAGCCCAAAAATAACAAAAATAAAACACGGTACAGCCCAAAAATAACAAAAATAAAACACGGTACAGCCCAAAAATAACAAAAATAAAACACGGTACAGCCCAAAAATAACAAAAATAAAACACGGTACAGCCCAAAAATAACAAAAATAAAACACGGTACAGCCCAAAAATAACAAAAATAAAACACGGTACAGCCCAAAAATAACAAAAATAAAACACGGTACAGCCCAAAAATAACAAAAATAAAACACGGTACAGCCCAAAAATAACAAAAATAAAACACGGTACAGCCCAAAAATAACAAAAATAAAACACGGTACAGCCCAAAAATAACAAAAATAAAACACGGTACAGCCCAAAAATAACAAAAATAAAACACGGTACAGCCCAAAAATAACAAAAATAAAACACGGTACAGCCCAAAAATAACAAAAATAAAACACGGTACAGCCCAAAAATAACAAAAATAAAACACGGTACAGCCCAAAAATAACAAAAATAAAACACGGTACAGCCCAAAAATAACAAAAATAAAACACGGTACAGCCCAAAAATAACAAAAATAAAACACGGTACAGCCCAAAAATAACAAAAATAAAACACGGTACAGCCCAAAAATAACAAAAATAAAACACGGTACAGCCCAAAAATAACAAAAATAAAACACGGTACAGCCCAAAAATAACAAAAATAAAACACGGTACAGCCCAAAAATAACAAAAATAAAACACGGTACAGCCCAAAAATAACAAAAATAAAACACGGTACAGCCCAAAAATAACAAAAATAAAACACGGTACAGCCCAAAAATAACAAAAATAAAACACGGTACAGCCCAAAAATAACAAAAATAAAACACGGTACAGCCCAAAAATAACAAAAATAAAACACGGTACAGCCCAAAAATAACAAAAATAAAACACGGTACAGCCCAAAAATAACAAAAATAAAACACGGTACAGCCCAAAAATAACAAAAATAAAACACGGTACAGCCCAAAAATAACAAAAATAAAACACGGTACAGCCCAAAAATAACAAAAATAAAACACGGTACAGCCCAAAAATAACAAAAATAAAACACGGTACAGCCCAAAAATAACAAAAATAAAACACGGTACAGCCCAAAAATAACAAAAATAAAACACGGTACAGCCCAAAAATAACAAAAATANCCCATTCTCCCTCGCCGTTTTTACACTCGCTCCAGACCTTTCGTTGGAATATTGATCGTCGCTCGCGTTCGCAAAAAATACGACTGTTTTGCAGTCTATACAACAAAGAATTTTACGAGTTTCATAACCATTCCACTCTATAAACTATGGTTAGGACTGAGCGGAATAAAATTCAGTTTTTAGGGCGTCTAATTTCAAGCTAATTTAGCAGCGGGCATAACGCAAGGCCGATTTAAAACTATGGCCACAGTGACACAATTTAGTTATCTAAAGTAGCGATTCTTTGAACCTCTTTTGCGACAAGTAGTCTTTGTCGTAGCATTCCATTTATTCCTTGGATATGCGTTAATTCCATTGTGGGGTTTTGGAGATGGTTTGAACATTTTCCCTAAGGTGGTTAATTTTACTCATGGTGGCCTGTTTGGTTTCTCTTTAGGGCTTTTGGAGTATCATTTCCGAAATTACTCAGGTAACTATCGGTAGTAGAGCTATCGTGTTTTTACTTTTGGATTAGTGTTCACTTTGATAGTTTATGTAAAACATTTGCCAACACTGCATGCTTGCGAATGAATTGTCTTGATATGGTGTTGGGTAAGTACGGAATAATTACTGCCTCTCGCTTGGACATTGTCCTTTCGGGAAGGGGTGAAGGACAAATAGTGCTCCTTTTAGAAATTCATCTTCGAGAATCTATTGAGCCCGCAATCGACATTTGGTGGTCAGTACTTACGATTGCCAAGTAACACCTGTCCATCTTACACTGAGGTTGGGGATAGGGCCTGATGTTACATGTATGTAGTATAAGTGGCTTTTCACGGGTTAGCACCTACTTAAACTTGTCGTGGAAAGACGCATTTGGCTATGAGCCACCCAACAGCAGCGAAGGGAGTTGAGCGACAAAATTTAATGGACTTCAAGTGTTTGCAGAAATGGAAGTTCATAACTTTGCTGATTTCAGTTGGTTTGTCTCATTGTGGCATCAGGGGAACAAATAGGTTGTTGGACATAGCATTTCTAACGTCGGTGGCGGGAGAGATGGGTTGGGGGGGACTTAAACCCCTGGGGGACTTTTCCTACACATTGATTGGTTTGTCATTTTATGTTGGAGACGGTAGCTACAATGTAGCCATACATCGCGGGCACTTTTGTAACCCCAGAATAACATAATCTGGTGAGACGTTTGTTGAGATCCTTTTTTATCCGCGCAATTTTGGAACGTACTAGATGAGCTTACAAGTCCAAAGGGCAGCAGACGTTGTAGTGGGATCATCAGGGCTGGAATGCTTCGACTGAGTCTGCGCGGCAAGAAGGACAAAAATAACAATAAGGAGAGAACGTCGAAATGAGACAGTTTACACCAGCCGATGGCTTTATATGTGAAAATGTGTAGGATGTAAATGAATGATTGTCGCAATGCCTACATTTGTGAGTAAACTGTTTTCTAAGAAAACATTTTCATTAGACAGAAACTCTGTCTTAGCTTTAAAACGCGTTTTGCTGGGTTTTGTGTAAACTATAAAAAAAGTAATTATAGTAAGATTGCATGGTATCAGCTGTACATTACAAACATTTAGAATCGAAAGTCTTAAGATAAAATCCGGTTTTTTAGTGGAACGTGCTGTCGTTGAGTACTTTTGCCATAATCAATGTTGTTAATCAACTATACAACCTTTGGAACAAGACTTGTGCAGAATTTGGATTTTGTCGTTCTTATTTTAACTTGTATTAAATGGGATCAGTCTTAATCTGTTTGAATTATAACTGTCTGAGATGGTATCCATAATACTGTTAGCATACATTGTTCTGTCCAAGATTATCATTCCATTTCGCTAGTCTGGTTTTGGTAAGACAATGTATTTGTTCTTCTCTAGTTTCTTTCATATACCTAAGGTCTTGACAGCATTTGGTGAGGGCTAATGAGGGGAAATGTAACTATACGCTGGCAAAATGAGTTCTAAATACTTGGAAATCGTTCGTGGAACCATTTCAATTGCAACGATTGCCTTCCCTGCAGCTCATTTCAAAAACAAATAGAAAAGTAGTGAATCAGAGAGGATGAGATGCATCAGTTAAAAGACATACAGTGCAAACCTTTTAACCTTTTATTTTCCATTAGTTATCAACTTCTAAATTCTTGTTGCAATATCAATACATTGCCAAACAAACAGGCAATGAGAACGAGTATCGTTCACTAGAGGATATTGTCACGACTTACCATCAGTTCATAACATCGAAAAGAAATTCATCTCTGAAAACTATCGAACTTGCTAACTGACCAACGATTGGGAGCCGTTTCATACAGCTTTACAACATGTCGGCCTGTAACTTTCTTCTCGAATGTTTACTTCTTTGTTATTGAGAGTCGATACTGACAAAAATGACTCGGTGAAGTTAAACCGTTTTCCTGATCTCGCCATTGTTAATCCCCACTTCCTGATGTTCTATGAACTGAGTAAATTATTGGTTGTCTTCCGTTGATTCTGGTTTGTTTAGGAGCTGCACATAATCTTGCTTAAAATATGTGACAGTGCCCCCTTAATTTCGGAATAGTCTCTGCGGTCACGTCAGCAATTCTAGAAAACAGATTTCAGTTCCAATAAAACTCGTGTATGTTTTCTTGCGATCTCCTTCCGTTTCATTTGTACACATCAATACGTTTGTGAAGACATTGTTTGCTACAAATTAAAGTGTAGACTTCCCGCAGTGTAGAATAAATTCAGAGGCAAATAATCAAGTGTTCCAGTGCCAATTGTTTGGTTTGTTTGGACTTGTCAAAAATGAACCATTCAACGAAAAAAAAAAGATATTTCTTCCATCCAGTTCATTTTCTTCTTGGTTATTTTCTCAGGACTGCTGATCTACTGTCTCTTGTCGGTATACGGTCAATTTTATCTTTGCTTACTTCTGAGAATCACCTGTGATATACAAACGATTTTGCGTTGGGCGAGGAAACAACTCAAGTGGTGTTGTCTTTTTTACTTTGGTCTTTTAGCCTCTCGGAACTAACCAACCTTGCAGTTTTCTTTAGAGTTGTTGCTTAGTAACACGTTGCTACATCATGACGGCCGCATGACGTCACACC